TATGTATGCATGTATGTATGTACCTAGTTTGTCGTCATAAACCTCGGCTGACCTCGTCGATTGCGAGTGAGAAAACATGTATGTATGTATGTATGTATGCATGTATGTATGTATGTATGTATGTATGTATGCAAATAGATCTGTCCACATACATATAACATATATGCACGCATACATGGGTACATAGGTGCATGTGTTCATGTATGAAGTAGCTAAGTAGCATGTACAGGCACATACACAGACTTCTTCGTTCCTACTTTGGGTTACATGCCCGAGCTTCGAAACATGGCCACCCTAAACTGCAAAGCCTGCAAAAGCCCTCAGCCGCAAGCCCTTTGCACAAAACACGTTGCACCCTCAACTTGTCAGGTCATTCGTGAGGCCCCGCCGCAGCTGCTCTGCGCGGACGCGGTGTCCAGGCTCCGGGAAGTGCTAGGGCTCGGGCTTGGAAAGGCATACTATAAAAACACAAGGCACTTAAGTAGATATGGAATCATGGTTATAGTTATAGTGCAATCAACCCCAGAACCCTATTCCAATCACTACGGTCCTATTCCAGTGGCATGCTAGATGTACAGTTCTGCATCCTGGCGTGTTCCCAAAAACCGCGTGCATCATGTTCACATGCCTACGACTGAGCATGACCAAACAATAACGTTTTACTTCGTTGCCATCGAATGCTGATGGAGACGCAGGGTCGTTGCGACCCCGACAGGCGATCCAGCTTGCCAAACTGGGCTGAAGAGAGGGAGAGGGACTGCTTGTCGCCCGAGTTCATGTTTGGGGTGTAGGTTTAGTTAGTAGTAGTGAGGACTTTAGCTTGGAGTGTTCTGTTTTGAGGGCTTGCTGGTATGAGTTGGAGATTCGGCCTTTGCAGTTTGGCGAACTCTGTGTCTGCTCCGGTGAACGGCCGAGCTCTTTGATCTTCACGCTGCTACTTGGAAGCGATACTCGTGCTGTCCTGTTTACGACTTGGTTACTCTTCCCGTGTTTTCTGTTCACGCCAACCTGACTCTCTTGAGAATTACCCATCCAAAACCTAACTGTTGCTGGAACATGTCGGTCGGAGCACACGAGCCACGAGTTGATACCTTGCTTCGTGAATGCTCAGGAGCTCGCTGATTTTCAGACTTCTCCATAGACCCGACAAACGTAAAACACCCAAAGCCCCTAAACCCTGAACCATCATATATGATGAACTTTAGCAAGCCTTACAGCACCATGCAGTACCCTTACAGAGCCCATATGAATCTTCAAGAATACCCTAAATCTCTGAATCCGAGCGATGCTGCTGCCTGGCCAGGCTGATCTATGTCGATGTGTCCACCAAGGACGGTCTCATGAACCGGGGTTTAGGGGCTTCGGCATGACCAGTTGCAAAAGGGTACTGTGATTCAATTAAAGAGGGTTCTGTGATTCTGTAAGAGTTTCCGGGCAGGGCTGAGATATGCAGACTTGAGGAAGGTTCGCGTCAGCCTGGAGGCCCATGTTGCATACACAACCGAATCAACTTGAAAACCGAACTACTTGCAAGTGCACAATATGCACAGCTATAGCTTTATGTCCACAGCGGAAATAGGTTAGAACATCGATGCAACAAGTGATTTCTTCTAAAGCCCCCCCCCCCCCGCGCCCAACCCCACAAATAACTTGTCTCCCGCATTGGCTCCATTGCAAAAACAGTGGGTTTACGACCGTTCCTAACACCTCCTAGCTGCCGGCTCCCGATTCCAATGGAAGCCTTTGTTGAAGGGCGGGTGGAACAGCGTCTCCAGGCAGCCCTGGAACGGGTTCGAGTCATATTGGATGCAACCAAAGATCCGCAAGCAGCTGGCGATGTTCACCATCAGTACGAAGACAAGTACCTGCTGGTGGAGGGCGTGACCAATGCGGCAGTTGCATCGCAGCTGAACTCCTTTGGTGCCTTAGGCCTGACCTTGGAGCACGTGCAGAAGCTTCAAGAACGGTCCAAGGACAAAGTCGTATCGTTCCAATTCAGCGCCGAGGAGGCATGCAGCTACCTCCGAGAGGAAACGCGAGAGGAAGAAGCTCCGACAAGGCAGATCGAAAATATTTCTATCCACGGCACTTTGCAGGCTGCATTCACAAGCAAGGTGGTTACCAAGATAACAGAGTACTTCTGGAAGTTCGAAGCAAAGTATGAACTGGTGGCAATCAGAGGAGTTGGTGGAACTGCTGATGACCGGCTGTGTTTGATGACACGTGCAGGACAAGCAGAACTTGTAACATCGACGAAGCAGTCTCCGCGACCAGAGGTGAAGAAGCCAGCTGTCAACTTGCAGGTGGACGTGAACTGGCTCTTCCGCAGTCTGAAGAGCGACAAGGCTGTGCCTGGTTTCACCGTCGACCGACTGGCCAAACAATGCAAAACGCCAAGGCGCAACGAAGATGTTCAGCAGGCATACAACCACTGCGAGCGCGTTGCCGTTTTCGCCAAGCAGGTATCCAGCTATCTCTCCGGGCTCTTCCAAGTACAGACCGCTGCCAAAAAGTCGCTGGACCTCGCGGCACTCCGAGGAGATGACAGCATTTTCAGCCCTGTTCTTCCCGTTATGGTCCAGAGCTCACAGGCGGCGATCGAAGATCTCGGTCCTTCCAGTGAGGCGCTCATCCTTGTAGAGGCCGTACGTGAGGAGGCCCAGAGCAACGTGCAGCTTACGATCCAGGACTCCAATCGGCTGCTTGAAGAAGAGGTCCGAACTCTTAAGCAGAAGCAGAATGATCTTGTAGAGGCCTTCCCCGAAGAGGGAATTGCGACTAGGGCAGAGGCCTTTGCAGTGGTCAGCTTGCTGCATGTTGCCCGGGTGTGTTCTAGCTGGGCCGATGCAGTTGGCTACGTGGAGGGCATGCTCCGCAAGCAGTTGGCTGCCGCCATCGGCAAGGAAGTTTCCCCTGCCGATTTTGCTGCATACATGAGGTTTCATTACCGCAAACTCTTCCACGACTCATTCCTGCCGAAACCTCTCTGCTTCTCTGTGCGCCGTTCTGACATGCACAGCCCGGAGGGAACAGTGAGTATCGAGGAAGCAGTGGTTGGGCCGGGCGGCGACTCCAACATCAACAGTCCCATCGTCACCATGGTGGCCAGCAATGCTGAGCCAGCTCCTATGACCTTCCCGCTCAATGCTTCAACGTACGTGACTTTCGCTGGGGAGAGGCACCTCCACGCATGGCTCTCGCACCAGTTCTCGGGACAGTCGGGCTGTGAGCTGTCGTTGGTTGCCCGTGCAAGGCAGTTCAGTTCAATGCTGGTTCTGATCGGACGGGTTTCGTCTGCAACCAGCTTCGACCCGAAGTATGCTGCCATCATCCAGAACAAGGATGAACTGAGCATACCCTTGAATCTGTCGACGATTCCATCCCCAAAGGAGTTCAAAGATGCCATTGAATCTCTGTCGCCAGAGCAGCAAGCCTTCGCAAAAGCCTTCCGTTCGATGCAGCTGGAGTCGACCTTGTTTGGTGTGCTCGTGGTGCAGATCAAGCCACAGCTGGAGCGCGTTCTGAACCTGGCCGACGACAGCCTCACGAAAGAGATCAAGCTCACACAGGATTTGATGCAGCTGTTCATCAAGTACCAGATCCCCAGTGACTTGCTATCATTCGATGCCACCTCGGGCGAGGCAGAGCTCTTGAATCCCACGGCGGCCGAGAGGCTTGCACGCGTGAAGGGACATGTGCAAGCGATGCATGATATGCTTGCTCAGGCAAAGCAAGAAGAGATCCAGCAGCGGGAGCAGGAAAGTCTCTACGACGATGCCTTTGCGAACGTGAAAGGGAGGGGTGGTTTCCGTGCTGTCGCTGGGTCCGGCCCCCCAGCCCAAAAAGGCTGGTATCGTTCAGCTGTAATCAATATTGGGGCCAGCGCACCCAAACCCTTGGCCGATTCTCGCAGCATGCCGCCCCGGCCCACCTGCGGAGCTCCGGCACGGCAAGGCAACAGGGCTAAGCATGGCCATGCACAGAAGCCCGAGTCGCAGCAGCAGCAAGAGCAGCCGGTGCCGCAGCCTGCTCAGAGGTTCCCCGGCGACTCAGTGGGGGCCAGCTCGGCCACACGGGACTACACGCAGGTGCCAGTTGAACTGGACCAACGCTTTGAGAAGCTCGACACGGATCATTCCCTCCGGCCGACCATCATCAACCCCGGAGAGAGGTGGAGAAAGCAGTCTCAGAAGGCGTTGTTGGCCAGCCCCTCCACTTCTCATTTGTCCAAGGCAGAGCAAAAGACGGAAAGAGACGCTGCCTTCGATCTACTCGATGCTCTTACAAAGTCTGGAGCTTTGCCTTTGACCCATGCGAGCCTGCACGCGGTAATTGCAGCCACGCATTGCTTCGACAAGACGGTCACAGAGACCGTCATCCAGAACAATGTCAACCCGATTGCAAAAGTTGAGCGATCCTCACTCATCATGGCCTCCACGGTGCACCAGAAGCCGGTCCAAGATCTCATCAAAGATGAGCAAGTCCAGAGAGTGACGGATGCCTCCCCACAGCTCTTTTTGGAAAATGCTAGCTGAGAGAGAAGCCTGAACAGGGGCTTTCCATCTCAAGCTTGCAGGGAAGTGCCCTAAACGGCTGTAAATTCGTATTTGTAGCCCCTGAAACCCACAACTCTTCATGCACCTGCAACCCGTGCTGCTCTAACTGTAAAGGGAGCAGGGCGAGCAGTGCAGTGCAGAACGGTCCCCGCGTTTGTTCTCTTTATGCAGCAGCCTGTATCATGAGCATCCTACTCTTCACTTAGGGTTTAGATTGCCTTGATTCTGGGTAATTTAGAACGAGGATACTACTGTTTCGGATGCCTATCGGGTCTTTGAGCTGTTATGTTCTGAAACTTTCTCTGCTAAAGTGTCACGTCCGGTGCAGACAAGGGAAGACCATGTGGGGCCGTCTTAGTGTGCAAGCCTTTCCAGATCATTCCGAGGGGTCATATCTGGTGAGGCAGCGCCCGTGGCATTGCTTGGGCCTGGTGTTGTTTAATCCTGACTCGGGGTTTAGGGTTTAGGGTAGTTTCGAGCTTCGTTTGGTCCAGTTTATTGGTTGCTGCTTCAACTGCACAAAGGCCAAGTGTCTACCATGCCAGAAGCACGGTGGTCCATGCTCCCTGATGTACAGACTCAGACGCAGCAGCCGTGAAAAGAGATGTTTTGGTCCTGCTCGTTGATTGAAGTTTTCTGCCATGCAATGCTGAAATGTGCGACCTGCAAGAGTTGTGCTTTCACATAAAAAGCTTCCAACCTAAGCTGAACTAACGCAACACTGGCTGCAGACATGCACTCTACTCCGAACCCCACACCGTCTATCCTTTACCCGTCTGCATTCTCCAGCACCATTGGAAACGCAAAGACCACGGTCTCTCCTCGGAGAACGCTGCCCGAACGTCCCCTGGCTTGCTCGAGAATCGGTGCCAAAACAGGCGAAATCCGAAACCCTAGGCCCTAGACTCCTAAACTTCCTAAACCCTGCACAATCGAGCCATTGCAGGAGTTTGGCCCGCTGATAAGCCCGACGAGCTCCGCATGGCGCGGGATGGGCTTTCGGGTGTAGGGGCAGATGTCGTGCATGGAAACGCTTCCTTTAGCAGATTTCCTTTCAGGGCTTCCTGCATGATGGTCGTCTTTGGAGAGTTTGTAGCAAGCCGAGACTATTTGCTTCGCCCCGTTCATTTACGGGGCTATGCTGAGGATTGAAGTCCCGAAACCGTGTTTGTTGTTCCTCTATAGACTCTAAATCGTCTAAACCGTTGCATCCCACTCCGAACCCTATACTTTCCGTTCACTCTAAACCCTTCAACCCTCAGCCATTCGTAGGCTTCGCTGTCGCAGTCCTGAGTAGGGTGGCGGTTTAGGGGCCACGGTTTTGCCAAGAGTAGGAGGCGGGGTCTTACAGTCATGATCGTAGTACGGCTCGGAATGGTTACAACAAGGCCAGGGGAATCATTGTTCGGAAGAGTAGTGGCAAGGACGAGATATTCTAGTCTATACCTAAACTAACTAGGCCGCCGTTGACATAAATATCAATGGGCTTTTTAGTAGAAGATCGCCGCAAGAAGGGAGCAAACAATCTACTTTTACAGGGCCCCACGTCGTCGCCTCTTTGAAAAACCCAAAACCCTAGACAAGACCCTAAACCCTAAACCCTAAACCCTAAACCCTAAAACTAGACAAGACTGATTCGTCGACGGGGAGCCTGGATCTTCGAACGCCCAGTCACAGTCTG